TCAGGGAAATCCTCTTTTTTTAAATTCAGTTTTTCAGCTGGAATAGAACATTGTGAGTATAATTTTCCAAAAGTCACAGAATTTCAGCAGCTCAGTCTGTTAGACCCCAGAATCTGTTCTTTGCACTCTGCTTTGGACTGACACAGAAGGCATCCAGAAACTACAGAGAGATTGACATGCAACACTCTACCTTCCAGCCTTTGATGATATCAGAAAGCACATAACACCATTGCATCAAGACCCACCTAGGTTACCACTGAAATTCTGGGTTCATTTCAATGTCCTGATGTTTATCTATAAACTCCTGAATGGGCCTTAGGGCCTGGTTAACCTGGAGGCTGTTACTCTTTACTCAGGCTATATCTTACTTCTGTGGGAATTCTGCATCATTGCATGTACACAGAATTCATGGCCCATGCAGATTTCTGTGCTTCCCCGCAGAAAAAATTACTTCTAAAGGGAAAGCAAAGTGAAGTCGCAAGAGCGGTCACGTACCCCCTTCCTGGCAGTGCAGCAGGTCAGTTTGGGCACCCAGAGCAGCTGGTAGAAATGTAAATCACCATGGGGAAGGGGGAGGAGCTGGGCAGTCATGCATATGAGAAGAGAGAGACACTCTGTCCCTCTTGCTCACTATTGCAGCATGCTTGGCATGGAGGAGGCAGGGCTCTGGGGTGTTTCTGAAGAGGTAGGCACAGGGCAGGCTCTGTTCCCTCAGGTGGAGGAGACCGTAGCCACCTGCCTGCTCAGTGAATTGTTCCCATTGTTTTTAGTGAATTCCCCCAGGAGTATAAAAGAGGTGTAAAAATGTTAAGGCTCCTTTACATTGCCAGAGCGGCGTAAAGGACAGTATGGTCTTAGTAATGCTTATGGTGCTTTAGTGATTAGAACAGGTCTAAATTTTTGGATTGAAAAAATTTCCTATCAAAATGTGCTCCATGAACTATTTGCTATTGACCTTTCTGGAGACGGTCAGTAGCCAGTATAAATTTGAGAGTTTGAGTCCCCAGCCCTCAGTTGCTCCTCACTTGCCTATGATGTAACACTGAGCATATGGCTGCATATATTTGTTGACTAATAACTAGAAATAAAGGGTCAAACCTAGCTCCCATTCACTATTAGGCAGAAGGGGTTTGGTGCTTTCCCCCAATGCTCCCCACTCCAATTCACCATCCATTGTATTGTAGTTTAAGTAAATTACCAAAATAATTGAAATCAGCTTGATTATACTGCATTATTTTCACATTAAAAATATGCAGAATTTTGCAGAATTTTTAAATTTGAGGGGCAGAATTCCACTAGGAGTAACATCTACCCTTAAAACACTACAGCGGTACAGCTGCAGCACCACAGTGTAACAGCTCTCTGCAGCCAAAGCCACCTCCCCAAGAAGCATTAATTAGGTTGACAGAAGAATTCTTCCACTGACATTAGCACAGTCTACACCAGGGGTTAGGTCTGCTTAAGTATGTCACTCAGCAGTGTGCATTTTTCACACAGCTAAGTAATGTAACTGGATCAACTTAACTTTTTAGTGTAAACCTGGCTTGAACATGGATGCTACAGCTGGAAGAGCTCAGGCTCAAAATGAGGGGAATAGGACATTTCTCAGTGGAAAGTCCTCATCTGCACAATTCACTGTCACAGGAGATCAGATGAGCCACACTTTAAGAACTCACTCTTTCTATGGGGCCTTTAAACAATTTTAATCAGGGAAACTTTAAGACAGTTATCTTGGTGTACTGTAGAATATGCCAGAAGTCAAATTCAGGAGAGAACTTGGGAGTCTCTCCTACTGGAGAAGACCGATTGCATTTTGTAGATATGATCTACTATATGGCTATTGTATGGCAACACATCCCCAACATCCCTCCCCACTGCTGACTTATGAAAGGACATTCCCTTCTCCTTCCACTCCTGGGGGATTTCTGCAGCACTGTGCAAGGCAGAATTTCCGCCCCTCCTCCCCCCACCCCAAAATGGGCTACAGTGCTGCTGGCCGCCACTAGGGGCCACTGGACCAGGCAGAGGCCAGCGCACAAATAGCAGACTAGGGTCGGGGGAGGTGGAGGAAACTGGAGGGTTCCCAGCAGCTGCATTTCCCAGCATGCCCTGAAGAAAGGAAGGAGGCAGCTGCGCAAAGGAAACTCCATGCAAGCTTGGGACTCATCATGAGGCTGTTTCTCCCTCTAGATCCCTGGGCTCTGGGGGGTAGAGAATGTGAATGTCTGGGCTGGGGAGAGGGGCCCACAGCTGGCCTATAGGGAGTGAGAGAGTCTGGCCTGGGAAGACCCCACAGACGGGCTCTGGGGGGGAGGGGAGAGACATGTCTTTGTCTGTCCCCCTACCCCCGCTGGGCTCAGTGTGAGAGGAGGCAGAGAAACAGGAACTGAGTTGTCATAGGGGTTTCTTTAACTCTCTACTCCGGTGTGTGTGTGTGTGTGGGGGGGGGGGGGGGTTACAAACATACTTGCTGATTGGTATTTTGAAATAAATTACTAAGATAATTGACAGATTTCAGAGTAGTAGCCGTGTTAGTCTGTATTTGCAAAAAGAAAAGGAGTACTTGTGGCACCTTAGAGACTAACAAATTTATTTGAGCTTAAGCTTTCGTGAGCTACAGCTCACTTCATCGGATGCATCCTTTCCTTTTTGCAAGAGAATTGAAACTAGTATGATTATATAGTGTTATTTTGACAATAACATTTGCAGAATTTTGCAGAATTTTTAGGCGCAGAATGCCCCCAGGAGTATCCTTCTAACAAGAAGTTGTTCAACTCAGAAATTTTGATGGCTGTAAGTTACTAGAGCAAGGTTGTGTGAAAACATATTGTAGGGACAGAAAAAAAAAAAAAAAAAAGGCCAGAAGGCTCTTTTTGCTTGATCAAGTACTATATCTTGATGCAAGGTCCTTATACTTCACTGTAACTAATTTTATATGAAAGGAAAGTGTTAACCATAGTATTGATTATGAAACCTCTTGATATATTTAAAAAAAAAAACCCACACCACACACACAAGTTCTGAGGTTATTTTAAGAGATGGTTTAAAAACCTCATCCTGCAAGGAGTTTCATGCTAGTGTATTCCTGTGCCCAGGCAGATTTCATTCCAGGTTCGGGTCCCAAGTATATTTTCGAGCATTTAAATAAACAATGAAATAGTGACATCTGAATCACTCCTTTCCTAAAAGCTGAAGACAAATTGGAAAAATGTTTCTCAATACATAAAAAGAAGAGAATTCCAACCTTAACATGTATCTGATTAGTGAAGTTAAAAAAACAAAAACAAAACACCACACAAACTGTTAGCATTTGAAATGTACGATTTACAATAATCTAGTGAAATACTGTATTATATGTAACTGTGGGTTTTATAGGAAGAATGTCAGAAATACACAGAAGTGCCTTGAAATGTAGTTAACTTGTCTTGTAGAGTTTAAATTAAAAATGCCAACTTTAAAGAAGAAATTAACAAAGGCTGTCTTTAACTATGATTAAATATCAATTCAAGAACAGTAGAGAATATTAACATAAATTTTATGGGCTTTGCAGTACTCTGATAAACCTTAAAAGTAGAAAATGGCACTTTGTTCTTAGCCTTATGTATTACATTCAAAAGTCATGAAAAAGCTCAAAGGATTTTCACTTCTCTTTTCACTATTCAGAGCACATCCCTAGCTCACCATTCTTCTGGCTTCCATGGATCAACTTAAAACAAGACCAAGCCATCTGTGCAATTTTTCAGGGTCTTATTTATTAATATTTAAAATGAAGTTACATAAATACAAGATTACTATTAAATAAGTTACTTTCCATTAAAATCATCTACCATTAAAACAGTTTACAATTTCCTTCAAAGGCTACATATCATATTAAAAAATGCAATGAGCAGATGAAAAGAGCAGCCTTCTGCAGTTAAGTGAATGATGGGATGAAACTGCCCACACCTTGACTGTTATATGGTATGAATGTATATAAATGATCAGATGAAACACAAAACCCTGAAATAAACATGGACATCGCAGATACAAATGTACACCATAGGAGCAAGCTATTGTGGGTCAGTGCAAGTATTAAATTACAAAAGCTTGTGACAGCAGAAACAGAGCTATGCATTACCTCTTTAATTCCAAGGAAGTATTCATAATAATGCACACATAAATCAGCTTTTCAAAATTTCTCTCATCCACATGCCTGGGGCAAGTAAACCATCTTTTTTCCCCATTATAACCATTCACGCAAGTAGATAGTAAACATCTGAGACACAATTTTGCAAAGCTAATATATGTGTATATATTACATACAGACATGTATATAAAATTTCTAAAATACCATCAATAACTTGTATTAGCTTCTGAATTATGCTAAATCTAACTATATGGTATTAGCAAGTCAATTTTCCCTTTCTACCTAGACATTTAAAATTTGACATACTGTATATGATTCTTGTCTGACTTAGTTTGTGGGTTAATTTGAAAGTTAAAGACAGGAGAAGATCTGCTCTGACTTTTCGGTGGAAGTGTCAATTCCGAGTTTCCCCACCTCTGCAAAAGTGGCCACTCTCTAAACTATAAAATTTTCCAGCAGGCCCCTCTTCCTCCAGCAGACGCTGCAAGCCAGGTACCCTTCCCATCAGCGCCGGGCTCTAAGGGCACCCCCAGATCTGCTCGCCCTGCAGCAACCCCTCCGCGCACGGACGGGGCTGGGCACTGTACCTGGCAGTGGAGCTTGACCCCACGCTCCCCTCCAGCCCCTTTGCCCCCATCCTTCCCCCACCCCGCTCCCCTCGGCTTTCGCTGATCGCGGGCGGAAGGGAGACGGCAGCCGCGGGTGCTCCCCGCCTCCCCTTGGGGGAGCGGGCCTCCGACAGGCCGAGGCGAGCGAGCCCGCGGGGGGCGGGTCGCCTCTCGGCGGCCGGGAGCGGAGCAGGCCCCCCCAGTGACCCGCTCCTCAGGCGGGGGAGCCCGAGCCCGAGCCCGAGCCCCAGCCGGGAGACTCCTACCGTTCAGCTGCGGCGGGGCCGGCGCATCTCAGCCCCGTGCCGGCTCCTCCCGGGGCCCCAGCATCATCTGCTCCCGGGCCCACCCGGCTCCCGCTGCCTCGCAAGGACGGCGCACCCCAGCCAGAACCCCCACCGAATGGAAAATAGCTCCCCGGGCCCAGGGGCGGAGAAGGATGGGGGAGTGACAAGGACACAACCAATCACAGGGGACCTGTACCTTCATAGGACCAATAGGAACAGTACAGGCATCGAGGTGGGGCCACATCCAGCCTATAGGAGCTCTGCTTTCGTACTGGCCCCGCTAGAACCGCTCTAGCGACCCTCCGTTGACTGCCATCTTGGATTCAGGCAGATTGCCCAGTCCTGGAGTGGTCTTGTCAGCGGCCATTTTGGATTCGGGCAATAAACCCAGCCAAAGGGATTGATCACGTGGGAGTAAAATTAAATGAGGAAACCGTTAGCTGGAATGTTCTATGGCCTGGTTCTGGGTCTGGTAGGAAGTAATCTTTAGTAAAGGGCATCAAGGGCCTTCCCTGGCCTCCAGCTGACAGGAGAGGCCTGGCCAACCTTATGCCTTGGGAAACCACCGGCAGTGCCCAGCACAGCCTGGAGACTAAAATAACCATTGCATCTGGCACAGGTGCCCTGATCGGGTTGCCAACTTTCTGATGGCAGAAACTGAACACCCTTGCCCCACCCCCTGTCCTGGGGCTCCGCCTCTTCTCTGAGCTGCTCCTCCCACTCATTCCATCCCCCCTTCCTTTGCTCGCTCTCCCCCACCCTCACTCCCTTGCTCATTTTCACGGGGCTGGGACAGGCGGCTGGGGTACGGGAGGGGATGCAGGCTCTGGAGTGTGGCTGGGGATGAGGGATTTGAGTGCAGGAGGGGGATGGGGCAAGGGGTTCAAAGTGTGGGAAGGGGCTCCGGGCTGGGGCAGCGGGTTGAGGTGCGGGAGGGGATGGGGGCTCCGGCTGGGTGGGAGTGTGGGAGGGAACTCCGGGATGGGATAGGGGGTTGGGGTACAGGAGGAGCTGCGGTCTCTGGCAGGGGGTGTGGGCTTCAAGGTGGGGCCAGAAATTAGGGGTTCAGGGTGTGGAAGGGGGGTCCAGGATGGGGGAGGGGGTTGAGGTGCAGGAGGGGGTGCGGGCTCTGGGAGGGAGTTTGGGTGCAGGAAGGGGGAGGGCTCCTGCTGGGAGTGCCGGCTCTGGGCTGGGGCCAGGGATGAGGGGTTCAGGGAGCAGGAGGGCGCTCTGGTAGGGTGACCAGGTGTCCGGTTTTTGACTGGAACTCCCAGTAGAAAAGGGACCCTGGTGGCTCCAGCCAACACCGGGTCATGGGGGTGGCTTAGCACGGGAATCATACAGACTCTGGCCGCTAGGCCACACTACCCCACCAGTGAGGGGTGATTATATGAACTCCGGCTGCTAGGCCACAGTACCTTGCCTGTGAGGGGGATTATATGGACTTTGACCATTGGACCACACTGCCCTGACACTTGAGATGAGCCACATGGACTCCAGCTGCCAGGCCACACAACCCGGCTTGCAAGGGGGATTATATGGACTCTGGCCATTGAGACGCACTGCTGCAATGCTGGGAGTGATTTACATGGACCCTGACCAGTGGGCCACACTGCCCTGATGTTTGGGGCGAGTTACATGGACTCCGGCTGCTATGCTGCACTACCCCGCCTGCAAGGGATGATTAAATTGGGGATTTAATTGGGGATCGGTGCTGCTTTGAGCAGGGGGTTGGACGAGATGACCTCCTGAGGTCCCTTCCAACCCTGATATTCTATGATTCTATGGACTCTGGCCATGGGGCCGCACCCCTCCGATGCTGGGAGCAAGTTATATGGACTCCGGCTGCTAGGGCCCACTACCCTGACCAAGGTGTGATTGCAGGGAGGGAGGCCATCGAGCCACCCACAGAGAGGCGAGCCCGCGAACTTGGGAGTGGCGAGGTCCCGACACCCCGTTCCCCCGCTCCCTGCCCCAAAGGAGCGGTAAGGTGCCAGGCCTGCCACAACAGGTGGAGACTGTGGGCAACGATCAGGGCCTGAAGGAAGGACCCAGACACCCAAGATGGAGCCAGAGAAGCTGCTGAAATGGCTGCTGGACAACCGACAGCAGCAGGCAGCGCAAGAGCAGCAGCAGCAGCAAGCCCAGTTGCTCCAACAGCTCACAGAACAACAGCACCTGCAGGTGGCACAGCAGCAAGGACAGCAGCAGCTGCTGATTCGGGAACTGACTGCCCAACAACAGCAAACCAGGAGCGACTCTTTCAACAGATGGCAACTTTGCTAAGAAACGCACCAAGTCCTCCCTCAGGCTCGGCCGGGGGCGGGGCCAGGGATGACCTCGGAGGACTACCAGCGTGCCTAACAATGATGGAGTCTGGGGACGACCCCGAGGCCTTTCTCGTGACTTTCGAGCAGGTTGCAACCACCGTCCAATGGCCCACCACATATTGGGCCACTATCTTAGCCCCTTACTTAACTGGCCCCGCTCAATCCTCATATCACAACCTCAATCCACAGGAGGCACTGGAGTTCTCTAAGGTCAAGGCAACCATATGGGACCAAACGGGCGTCAATTCTGAGACTTACCGCCAGCGACTCCATCGAGAGCAGTACCCGCTGGGGGCCAGGCCACAAGCCATGGCTCAGCAAATCCGTGACCTCTCTTGAAGATGGCTAGAACCAGAATGCCGGATGAGCATTCAAGTAGTCGAGACCGCGGCCCTAGAGCAGTTCCTCCAGACCCTACCTACCAGGGGGAAGGAGTGGGTGCAGCGGTACCACCGAGGACCCTCACCGACACGACCTCCCTAATGGAGGATTACATGGCAGTGGAGGGAGGGGAGAAGATCAGCTCCAAATTGGGGAACTCGGGTGAACGGAACCCAACCCCGGCATGGGGGGCGTGCAAAGTAGTAGAAGGGGGGAGCCCCCGTTTGTATACCCTGTCATCGGGGACCCTACCAGCTCTCAGTGCAAGGGACCCAACAGGGCGAACCTCATTTTGGGCCAAGATGACTCATCGGGAAGGCAGAAGGCAGATTACCTTCCAAAACACCTCACTCAGAGAAGCAAAGCAAGACCGGTGTTACAAGTGCAAACAGATAAGGCATATCCGGAAGGACTGCCCGTACCTGGTTTGTAATTATGAACAGATTTGGGCCGCCGATCAATGTGACCAGAAGTGGGAGCTGGATAAGATTGTTGTACCAGTGAAAGTGAATGGGACGTCTACCGTGGTCTTGGTGGACTCCGGATGTAGCCAGACCGTCATCCGGGCTGGGCTGGTAGAACCCACCGGCCTCACCATGGCCCCCATAGGCCTGCAGTGTATTAATGGGGACATGAAACCCTACCACACTGTCTGGCTGCAGCTTAAGACTACTCAGCAAGGCGGGCGGTGCCTAGTAGGGGTGGCCCCAAAGTTAGCATACCCAGTGATTCTGGGATGCGATTGGCTGGGCTTCACTGAGCTCCTGCAGGAGTGGGGTACCCGGCCTGCGAGGAAAAGACGGGTGCGGGCCGAGAGGCGTGGATTACTGGGCCAACCAGCATTGGACGGCCCCCTGGAGGAGCCCTCAGAGAATCCCAAGATAGCCAAAGGAGGCCGAACTCCTGCCGAGGCACCGACAAGGGAGGGCCAGGGATGACTGGATGCAGATGCTGATTTTCTAGAAGAGCAAAGGGGGGACACCACCCTCAGCTGGGCCTGGGAGCAGGTGACGGACTCCCCAGAGGAGGAAGACCCACCCTGACACCGACAGCACGGCCCCCATTTTGAGATCCATAACAACTTTATCAGGTGGTCCAGGAACCACAAATGACCTGCGCCAACTGTTGGTCCCGTGGTGGTTCCAGAGGAGCTTACTCCACTTGGCTCACTCAGTGCCTTGGACCAGCCATCTGAGGAGGGAGAAAATGCTGCAATGGGTGGCCCAGAGGTTCTTCTGGCTGGGCATCCATCAAGAGGTGCAGGATTACTGCGCCTCTTGCCCCAAATGCCAGACGGCCAGGCCAAATGGGGTACCAAAAGCCCTCCTTGTGCTCTTGCTGGTGATTGGGACACCCTTCAAGTGGATTGGCCTGGACTGTGTGGGGCCCGTGTAAAAGAGCAGTTTGGGCCACAAGTACATCCTCATCGTGGTCAACTATGCCACGCAGTACCCAGAGGCGGTATAGTCCCGGTCATCGCCAATAAGCTCCTGCAAATCTTTGCTCATGTCGGTCTGCCATGGGAGATACTGGTGGACCAAGGAACTAACAGGTTTCAGAGTAACAGCCGTGTTAGTCTGTATTCGCAAAAAGAAAAGGAGTACTTGTGGCACCTTAGAGACTAACCAATTTATTTGAGCATAAGCTTTCGTGAGCTACAGCTCACTTCATCGGATGCAGTGAGCTGTAGCTCACGAAAGCTTATGCTCAAATAAATTGGTTAGTCTGTAAGGTGCCACAAGTACTCCTTTTCTTTTTGCAAGGTACTAACGTAACTTCTAGGTTGATGGCGGAGCTATGCCAGCTGTTAAATATCCATGCCCTTAAGATCTCAGTCTACCACCCTCAGACAGATGGATTGGTAGAGAGATTTAACGGCACCCTGAAAGCCATGCTGAGAAAGTTCGTGGAAGACTACCCTTGGCACTGGGATAAGTTGCTCCCAGCACTCCTCTTTGCCATGCAAGAGGTGCCACAGGCTTCCACAGGGATTTCCCCCTTCGAACTCATCTATGGGAGGAAACCCCAGGGAATCTTAGATCTCCTAAAAGAAACATGGGAAGAACAGGAGACCGGGTCAGAGGATCCATTCAATATATCCTCCACCTACGAGAGCAGCTCTGGGAGTTGGGAGCCTTGGCATGAGAGAACCTGGTGCAGGCCCTACGTCATCAAGAGGCTCAGTATAATAAGGGGGCAAAGATAAGGAGTTTTGAGCTTGGGGATCGTGTCCTCTTGTTGGTACCGTCCTCCGAATCTAAGCTGTTAGCAAAGTGGCAAGGTCCCTTCAAGGTGACCAGATGAATAGGGCCTGTCGACTACGAAGTTCGGGTGTCAGGGCAAAGGAAAGACACTCAGGTATACCATGTGAACCTCCTCAAGGCCTGGAGAGACCAGGAAGGCCTGATGATCACCCCGTAGCTTCC